AAACACCAATTGATTGAAAGTAACTGCAGCCACAATTCTGCCCAAGTTTTGCGTTATGGGAAGATTTCTAGTAGAGATACCTTTTTGATACAAGTGGTAGAGGGCATATGTAAACTGTAAGTCATAAACAAAAGATATACATTTATGACCAGGAGCCTGATTATCATATGGGTCATCTTCAAACAAAACTTTCTTAATCTTAGATAGACACTGTATTGTGCATTGTCCTCACATCATCAGTATGAATCATGTTTTAAAGTTAACATGCAAATATCATATGCATTGAGAGTAATAAATCTGTTACAGAGATACGTAAATATAGAATACTGATAAAGTATAGATTAGTGATCTATGATATGTTATACGTTTAGTTTAGACACCAACACAATGGTTCTATCACAAAGCTGAATGCGGAGCGGTGAATCAAGTGGTTCCATGGGAAAATTTTGAACTTTTTGACCATTGAAATGCTATTTCCTGCATTTTGAGAGGGGCAGATTTCAAAATGCTCCATCTTTTTATCTTGAGGAAGTTTTGTGTGGCACTGTTGGCAACCTGCAGACAATGTAATGTGGGTACCTCTTTTGTCTGTCATGCAGATGAAAGAGTTGAATTTTTGTCCTGAGCAGCAAAATTCTGTCTAGTGATGTAGGGACAAATAGATGATGGAGAAAGCCTATAATGTGATGCTGCTTTGTTGTCTTTCCTAGCAAAATGGCGCTCATTAACACAACAATACCGCCCTTATTCTAACCTTGACCTTTCACTACTAATCCCCGTTTTCTGCTTTAACTTTCTGTCTGTGCCAAATGAGCACCGATGATACGGAAGTCTGCCATCTCCGTACTGTAAACTATGGTAATACCAAGTGCCGACAGTTTGATTTTTTACGATGGCATTACACGCTTAGTGATCTCCATGAAACGGCCAAATGATTAGCACTTTGGGGTATCGAGGAGTGGATCTCGGAAGCGCTGCTTAGGAAAGTCTGATCGTTCAAATCCCGATGACGGTAATTTGGAAGTCGTTGACGCAAATGGCGTCCGGAAGGCCGTATGATGAAGCGCCGTTTGTGAGAGAGTTGACGTCTGGACACAGTAACCAGTCATCATATCTGCGTACACAACACGGCGTTCTAATGGTCTCGCAAGTAATTTATTGCACCTGACAGAGGCTAAAACACTGAAAACTGGAAAAAAAGAAAGAACACCTGTATAGCTGTGTCTGTACCTATGAATGCCAACTTGGTAACTATATGATTTAGGAGGATCAAGGACATTTGATTAAAACATGCCAGAAAATGTACAGAATTTTTCAATCTTGGAAAAGATGCTAGATTTTGTGGCACCTTGTCTGGAGAAATAAACTTCTTTGTTCCAGTTTGGAATCAGAACACATAAAATTTGATGACAGGGTGGTGACATTAACTATCAAAAACTTTGTAACTTACACAATATTTTTACAAAATGTTTTATTTTCATATGGCAATATGATATAGACAATATTAATTGTAGCTTATTTTCCTCATTGCCCAACTCTGGCTTTATAATACATGGCATCTGTCATGTGCTGAATGTGTATCAATGATCTATTGCTTTCATTGTTCCACCAGAATTGATGCCTGCAATAGTGCGAGCAGTCAAAATTCCAGCGTGGCTTATCGCGGAAAAAAAGAGAGTTGTAAAAAGAATAAAAATCATTAGTGCTATCATCTGTCCTGACAGAGTCTGTCCCTCTGTCCCTCAGTCCACTTGTTCACACTGCAGAGATAAGATAGAGGGTGAGCGATGCGAGAGTGTCGCCGTCCCCCTGATAAACAGCCCCGTCTGAGGGGTAATTAATGGAGTCATTAGCAGAAAATGAGTCTTGTAGGTTGGGGGGGATTTGCAACTTATCTGTAACGATTTGCCGGCATTCTTCGTGGCACCCCGATAGTTTCCAAGGTTTCGGGATGACACCTCTTGTCGCTGTAGCGGCGTGGCGCTGTAGATTCAGTGCACTCTGACCCCGGGACTCGTAAGTTTGTCAACATGCTCGCAGTCATACGTGACAACTCAACTGTTGGCAGGTCCTTATCTTCCTCAGATAACTTCATAACGCAAACAGTCGTCTGCTTCGATCGTTCGGAACAGATACCTTTGGTCCCTCTCGCGCTGATACGGCTGTAATTATTATAAATCATTTTTCATACAAGATGAAATGATCTGATATGTCGGCTGGATGTAACCCACTGTTGGCTGTTGTGCGTAAGAAAGTGTAAAAGACAAATGTGCGCATTTTATCACGGGACTTAGCACATGCATCATGTTTAGATATAGCTGACAGTCTGAGACAACAGTTTTATTAGATAATTGTCTAGAGATAAGCTCTCCACAGTAATTCTTTGCCAGCAGAATAATATATTAATTAGAGAGTGCCTCAAAACAAATTCCGTGCTGAATTAACTAGCAGCAAGGTAGTACAACTTAGAAATAACGTGAATATGTCAATGAAGGTTAGATGTCCAGGTAATTACCTACATGTGCGCAAGGAATAATTATTGTTACTCAAGCAGCTAGATAAATCTTGAAAACTGTCAGACATTTCAAGTAACACCACTACTTTTCGTTAATGATCTCCAAAACTTTGCTGCATGTAGAGATTTAGTTTCTTTCCAGGATTTCTTCCGCTACAAACTTTTAAACATGTAGTGTATGCGTAGATTTACAATGGGTGGAGCGTTGTGTTCCCTAGCTGTGCTTTTGAGTGATGTTGGTGTATTTTGGCGCCCTGTTTCGCCCAGCCACATATAGCCATTCGTATCCCTTCAGATTACGCGCTCATCCCCGGGAAACTTCCATCCGTCTTTCCCCCGCGTCACGAAGCTGTAACTATCGCCTCCGTCACAGCCGATGGAGGAAGTCTGCTGCGCTGATATCTCGTGTAATTATTGTAAATCAAGGTACACGCCGCTCGGAAAGATTTCTTACGTTCATACCTATATGATGAAGTTGTCCCACCGTTATTAGCAATCGCGAGAGTTGTGGTGGCAGGGGTCTTTGAGAGGCAGTAGCGTCCGCCTTTGTTGCGAAGATGCGATATTTCAAATATCTGGACATAAAAATGCCAGGCATGTTGGTGGCAGGCTTTGCAGAATAATTAATGGGCGCATGTTATCAGCAGGCAGATAGTCACTAAGGTGTTGATATTGCAGTAACTGGTATCTCTCTGTGTGTGTATTAAACCATCTTTTCTGGCTGCTGGAAGCAGGCGGCATGTCTTGCAGATAAGAAAGTAATTTGGACAAGTTGTCATGCGCAAAATAAGGAGATAAGTGTCGCTGTACACTCCGATACGGGTTGCTATGAGCCAGTAAATTTTCTATCTCAACAGGTGGACGGACCTCTGGAAAGGCTGAGATCGTTAGAAGCGCGCTTCAGGAGGGGACAGGGTAGAGAGCGGCCGGCGCTATCAAAAATCTCGTTATCTTCTGAGTACAAGTTTTGAAATAAAGTGTTTACAGGTGTGATAAGTGGGTTAAGGAGTAAAGATCAGGTACAGCCTACGCGTGGGACATCGTAAGAACATTAAGCCTCCAACTTTTCCTTTGGTGCTTTTTCGTACAGGAAAAAAAAGGCCAGTTCTGTGATGGATCTTCTTTCGTTTGTTAAACAAAGAAAATCTCCGACTGATGTTGTGTGCTCTGTTAAAATGTCAGTATGGTTTATAAGAGATGACTGTCGAAGGTGATAATCGCGGGTTCCTGAGATGCGCTAAGACAAGAGGTGTGCCATTTTCGATATCAGCAAAGTAACAGATGTGAACGCAGCCCTTGTCGCTGAGACCAAAGCGATCTGGAGTCCTCCTATCTCGTTGTTTGTACCTTGTGATGAAGAAACAAGGATCAAAGATTCAGCGGTAAGGCTAGCGCCGCTGGTGTTTGAGATGGGACCAGTATCGCTTGGCTGATACTGCGTCGAGTTATCTCTCATGTCAGATGTGTTTTTGTCTGTTTTCACAGAGGAACTCTGACCGTGTGCGGACGAAGTGGGCCCAGCGGGCGCTTCTACAGGAGTTTAAGGAGGCCATGTACGCTCACTCTGCCTACCAGTTCCCCAAGTTTCTCTTCCACAAGCACACAGGGCACAAGGTCAGTTTATCTTACTCAAAAATGTTTATGTTCTTGGAATTCTTTGTAACATAAAATGACTTTTTTATAGTGAAGAAAGCGAGGCATGCTGCACTGATAAGTTGCTCTGGAAATAGCTGCATGTAGAGACTGAGATAAAGTTTGAGCAATAAGTTCTAACTTTAAAAAAGGAGATCTGCACGAAACCAAAGTGCATTGTGGGATCCACTTTCAAAATGTTGCCATCTTGTTTTCCATCAAACAATCACCCGGATCTAAAGGGTACAACTTGACAACATATGCTGTATGCTAATGTAAAAAAGCTATTAGCATATTTGAAATTAATAAGAGGTTCATGTTTGATGTTTGTATGTGTGTTATGAGCACTGGGTCTTGCATTACTGCATGCATCACAATCACTCATTTTCTTGCAAGCTGTCCGACCTTTTTTGCATCCCTTTTTGCATCCCTTTTTCATATCACAGCTTCTTTCTTCTCTGTTCTAACAAACAAGAAAAGACTGTACAGTAATATTATAAGAGCCTGTCTGTATCAAGTTACCAGCATGCAGTAAGTCTAGCACAAGTTACTTGGAATGAAGCCATCGTTTAGATCAAAACATGAAAAGGATGTACATGCACTTCCCTTGGCTACTTGGTGGGACAATGACAAATTGTTGGTATCCACTAGAAGCCATTCAGACTCCTCTTTGCAGGAGTCCCTAAAAACTTCCTATTCAGGAGTGGGACTGACATTTCCTTTGGCACGGAGACTTTTTAACAAGTATGGACATAAAGAGGAAAAAAGTCCAGGAATCTCCCATGTTTATCCCATAACTTCCTATTAAGGCTCGGGTGAGTGAGCTTTTGTAAAAGTCTGCAGGGGACTGTCGCGGAGAGATATATTGTCTCACATGCCGATCGCTGTGCGAAATGGTTCATAATCCCACTCCAGAGTAATTAGCGTGGGGATCGTCAATGACTCATTACAAGATAACACCCAAAGAATTATTTTGGTTATTGCAGTAGACAACAACACATTTACTAAATGGCCACTTCACTTCTGTAATTGGCTCGAATGTTGAAATTCTATCTGCCACGATCTGGATCAATCCTTGCGTCCTTCTGGAGGCATGCTATCAGTCAGACAGACAGAACAGTCAGAGTTGGGAGATAACCCAAGGAAGAGAGACGCCTGTGGACTGAATATCACATTTCCTGTGCTAGAGACACGCCCTGTCATGTTTTTGGAACTGTAACAAACGGCCTGGCGAAGTCGTGATGGCTCCCGACCCGCCGAGCCTCTCGGAAGACGGTCGGGCGGCCGGCATTCCGTGCCAGCTGGTCCACAGACAGCTCAATCGGGCGGGCGACAGAGTGCCGCTACCCTGGCATGTGTGACATTTTGCTGGAAGGTGTTCTCCCTCAGTGAACACGCGGGGCCCTGGGTTCTGGGGCGGCCGCGGCGGTGTTGTTGTGTTGCCCGGATCAGTTTAAACCCTTATCGTGTCCATCGCTGCCGAGATATATGATAGCGCAAGTGATATGATAACATACGACGATAGCCCCTTGAAAGGAGAGGAGAAGTTAAGTTGTCGGAAAGCCCTTTGCCAATTGGGACGACAACTGCCTTCTTGCACTTGTGAGCAAGAATATGTAAGCTAAAGTTGCAAACAGGTTGAATTCTGTCGCCAAATAGGTGAAGACAAAGCATTTTAATCAACATTAATCCTTGTAAGACATATGATTACAATACCTGAAGTGTCCAGCTATATATCTTTACACACACACTGATAACACATACAGCTTGAGTTAGATCAAGGAGGTTTCAATCACTGTGGTACTAAATTTGCCATGTAGTCAACATCTAAATAAATACATTTAAGTGAGCTGCCTGAGAGAGGCAGTTGTTCAATGTTCTTTTCGATGAAGAGCTTCTGTGAACAAAAGTTACATTCATAACTATTTTATAGATGTAAAAATGTTTGAGGTGAGAAATTATATTTGACAGTGCATGAATTTTTTAATACTCAGGCAAACAAGCAAAATGTGTCAATTGAAAGCACTCTATGGCTAAAATTGTTAAATTCTCACAAACTACATCATATTGCTGGTGTTCTCTCATGCTTTTGTGACATTGCTATGTCAAAATAAGAAAGCGTTAAGTCAATGGAAAGTTTGAAAAAGTTTTCTTTAGAAAAACCTCAGGTTGCTTCTGTTTTTGTAAAGTTGTGATGAGCCTCAATTATAAGTAGGTTTACTCCTGAACTGAGCAGTGTTTTCTATGCTCAACTTTCTAAAATATTCATTGATGATGAGAGAATTTTCTTCAAATGATAGATAAATCCAGTGCCTTCTTGCTTAACCACGGCACAGACAGCAGTATTTCAAAGATGATAATTCAGGTGTGAAAATCCAGGTAATTGCAGAGTTCGTCAGTCACTAATTAGCGTGACTTACAATGTACGCGGCCCTGTCTGAGGGCCAGGCTTCCTGTGACCAGAACAACAGGTTTTCTCATGCGTAATGAAATCCATTAGTGTAATTTGCGCTTGTCTGGTCTTATAATGCACATTTTCTCCACCTAACCGCTCGCTCAGTTCCAAACCTCTTACTTCTTTAAGTGCGTGATAAATCAAGCAGCGTCTGCCCACAGTTGTCAATTCGAGAGCCAGAGAAAGAAAACAAAAACAGAAATGTCTTGGAGGTCAGTGGGTGAGGACTGGCACAATGAAAATATCAACACTCAGGATATGTAAACAACCATTGCATGGCCTGTGGTTTCAGTGTGTGCTGCCTTTGTTTCCTGTGTGTTGAAGTCAAGGATGCATGATCCCTTGTAGATCAAAGGATTACACAACAATCCTTGATCACTATCCGACAAAGTCTCAATCCTATCAAGAAAATGACAGATGCGGAGGATAATCTCCTATGGTTCAATTAGGTTGATGAAATTGAATCAAGTTACATGTATAATACGCTGTACTTATGTCTTCAAGTGCTGTTGTTGTTTCATTAAAGTTGTGGGTTAGAATATTTACATTGCAAGCAGGACAAGAGAGTCTTTGATGTTCAAACTGTCTTTACAAAAGTTTCCATCACAGAGTAATTGGCCCTAAGACTGTTTTATGTTTTAACTACTGTGCAGAGAACTGTGAAATGTGGGTGTTCCTGTAAAAAGCTTCACAGTATGGATTATTCGAGTCAATTTTACAAGTCAGAGATATGCTCGGTTATAGCATAACCTTCTCCCTCCTTCCTCACCCTATAACCAATAGAGAATCGGTGGCTAAATGGCTACTTCAGTGTGCTGAGGGTTAAAACATCACATCACACAGCACCGGTTGCACTATACAAACTGTACACAATATGGCAATGACAGGAATGACAACATGCTGAAGGATTAACGATACAGCAAGGCTATAGAGGCAGGTGTGAGGACTATTATGACAAGAAAAAAAGACAGGCAGGCAGACTTTCCAAGCACAAACCACCTGTTCCAGCCCAGGCCTGGTCCTGACAGAATCCCAGGCCTGAGTTGAGTGATTTACACCACACATGGTTCCAGTCTGTCACTAGGTGGGTGGGACGCCATCAATTAGCACACGGCCCTGTCTCAAAAATCACCAACAGTCCAACCAGTGGCCTGGAGGTATGTTACCTCTACCCTGCTAATACGGGAGAAGTCACCCGTCGTAGCGTTCCTTGTATTTTACCTTCAAACTTTGTTTGCGGTGACGTGCGAGAGAAAGAGCCCCTGTCCGACTGTCGGCAGCACGGCAGCAGCTCGTATTCATCCTGTGGAGTGGTTCGGAAGTTTGGATAATCACAACAATTGAACAAACGGAATACAGTCAAAGTCTATCAAACTGTCCAAGCTTGTTTTAAGAGGTTATACAGATGTGCACACAGTAGCAGGATATGTTGTTAATGTTCAGTTACTGCACTTTAGGGGGTAAAAGCTAACTTAGTAGCTGCTACATGGTGACCAGTGCATTCAGATGGTATAGGAAGACGAAAACTTTCTGTTTTATATGACTGTCCAAAGTGCTGTTTTTGTTGATACAAATTGGAAAATGGGGAAAGATCCTTCATAAAGCACTAAAGCTTTTTCTTGACAAGTGTATTGCACACACGCTGAGATGTTTATCAAAAACTTTTTAAAGAGTTACGATGTTCGTAACTGCATGTATGTACAGGCATCACAAGCTAATACTGCAGAATGTCACATGTGATACATTGTCATCCATGTTTAGAAATAGTATGAAAATTGTTATCAGACAAGAACAATCCCTAGATTTACACACTACCCACCATGGATGGATAGAGGCAGTTGATCAGACTGAAGTGTTATTCGTGTATTGTCAATTTTGTAAATCTACAAAGATTAAAGATGCTATCTGAAAGGATAAAAGTTCAAATTAATAGTTAAAAACATCACAGAAAGTTGTTGAAAACACTAATAAGTTTTTTTTTGACACACGCTCACTCTATCGAGCTCTCAGGTGTGTATTATTGACATGTTTGCTCAACTTTTTAGCATGATGCTCACAATAAACATGCATGTGGGGCAAGGAATTCTTGCCTACCGGTATACCCACATTTTTCCGTGGGAAAAAGTAGGATCTTTTTTTATTGTGGGACGCCAAATTGCCTGTGTCTTATCAGGGACATAGATAACATGCTGACAAGGTATTCACCAGATAGTTGAGCGTGGTAATCTTATTGTGCGTTCCTCAATGTTAGATGTTTCTTCTCATCATCTCTTATTTCGTTTTAATGTCCTCTAATTGAAAAGTAGACAAAGTGCGTGTTATTCTGTGTTTCTTCCCAGGACTCGCCCCACTGGTACCCACATTGTGGGATGACAAAGATGATATTTGGACCGTAACGCTACTGTCAGGAAGGACTGATTTATTTGAGAAGCAGACAATATCACCGGGCACATGTCCTGGTGTCCCCTAACAATGTGAGGATGTCCTGTTGACTTGAATTATAGCATATAGTGCACTGCCTCTCCAT